AGCATATCTGATGCCACGCGGACACAAACAAGGAAACAGCCCAGGTGTGACTTCATTTCAAGGTCCATTAGCAGCACCAAGAGGGGGCAAGCTGTACTTCCAAACGCAGTCCTGGAACTCAGCAGGAACACTTTTCAATTTTCGAATGCTAAGAACAATTATGGTTCTTTTCTTGAGAACAACATCCCAGTTCAAATACACCGCACTTCAACTCCAAATACTAGAATATGCTGCATGCTGAAACTGACATTTGGAAAATGCAGGGCTGCCTAATGTTCAATGTAGACTCAGTATCAGAAAGCATCCTCTTGGGCTGTGTCTGCATTTTCGATTTTGCGAATGTTTCCCAATTCATACACCTTGCAATCGCAAGTGATCACAGCACAAGGGGATGGATGTGGTCATGATGTTCTGTCTTCTAGTCAACTGTCAGCGTTAGCTAGTTATTCAGCTGATGTTGAATGACAACAACAGGCCCTTGAAGGTATAAATGAATAAATTTGCACACACAAGTGCCCACACTCCTGTCTCCCTTCCCCTCACCAGAGAGCTGTACAATATCCCCACTCCCCGCAAATATTACAGTCTAGAGTGGGAACCATCACATACTATAAAGGCTCCAGAGCACCAAATCACCCACGGGAAGATCAGTCATGGTCGAGAAACACGGAGTTGTATTTCTTAGATGGTGTCTGCCACTGATGTCTAAAAAAGGAAAACGAGAAGCCAAGTGCCACTTCTAAGCAAATCCTCATACATGTAAGTGGAGAAGGGGAGCTACAGGGAAGAATTCCTTGCAGAAGTGAAATGCTCTCCCCTCCAGCATGATCCAACCCATGTGGACAGTACTTACTAAACACCTTCAACAGCCAGGCTTTCAACAAGACAAGAGGGCCAAACAAGACTAGAAGCAGGCACTGGCACATCACACACCTGTGGCTCTTTACCTTTCCCCCATGTCAGGACATGGCCAAGAACCACCAGCCCCAACCTATTCTCTCCACTTCGGAACTTAAGATCACAAATCCACAGAAAACCAGAATTGGTCTTTCAAAAAAAACCCAAGTATCATTCCCAAAATAAGTAATCTTGACAAGGAAATATACAAATCCTATCAGTGTTTAAACCTGGAGAAATCATGATTGGTTGAAAGGTAGGTTTGGGGTTTTTTCCCAACCTATTTTTTTTTTCATTTCTTTGATTCACCTTCCTCTTTAGTAAGATAAAGATTGCTCAAAAATGCAGTTCAAATCCAGTTCTTTACTTTCCTAAAGTCCATTTCCACCTCAATTTCTCTAGGGGGACATTCATTTTCACATAATAAAAAAGCCCTAGAGTAATAAATTTGGTAAGACAAGCCATTTTGGATCAAAATCACATACAACACAGTTAAACAGAGCAAGGAGAAGGGAGACACACACACATATCCCTAAAAAGAAAACAAATTTAGAGAATTCTTCTTCAACTGCTATGGTGTCCAATTTAGATACAGTTTATAGTCAACCAGAAGATATATCAGCGAGCAATAAGACACAAGAGTAAGCAATCAGAAACATCCGTTAGCAATAAGACACCAGAGTAAGCACTAAAGACACCAGAGAGAACATTTCTGAGCAATTACCACATGTCTCAATGCAGCGAGGGAGGAAGAACGACTTCACTCAACTAGGATTGGAACCCTATAAAAAATGATCTCTCATAGCTCAAAAGCCACCCCTGCTACGACAGCAGGGATGTGAGATCTGCTAGCCTGGCCATGGATCAGGGAAGAGGGCAAAAAAGCCATGAGGGGTCGACCATGAACTAGGGTTGGGAACTTAAGTGCTCTGGCCCTCTTTATGGCTCACTAACCCATAGACCTGGCAAATAAAAAATACACGTGTTCTTTGACAAGATATAACGGCCCCTCCGACCTTTGGAGGAAATAAGGGCGGATGCCTGCATTCTTCACGTCCCATCTCCAGTCACTGTGGCTAGCGCAGTGTCTGGCAGGGGTGCATATGCACGCACACACACACAGAGGGATGACATTTCTTTTTGTTGTTGCTTAACACACAGGTCAGCCAAAGAAACAGATCCTCAGACAGAAAGAACTTCCACTGTAGACTGGATATTAAGTAGTCCAGGAAACTGTCAGCTCTCTAGGAACCTCCAAGAAAATGGGAGCGCATTTTTCTACACTCACCGTTTGAGATGATTCACAAAATGGAAAGCAAGGAGCAGGGCAAACAATCTCTTCTCTACTTGGCACTAGGAGGTCTTCACCTCAGCCCCACCCCATCCCGCATACTTCAACTTATAAAACCTGTGAAAGCACTTACTTCTGAGATGCTGAGAAGAGTAAACAAATCAAGGCTCCAAGTTCCTCCAAGGCTCAGGAACTGGAAACAGTTTAATGGCAGAGGATGGCGAGTTTCCTCTCCTTCCTTCTAACGTCTTACCTGGGTAGCAATCCATCTCTAGTCTTTATCTCCTTCTCAACCCTCAATTGCCTCCATCCTAACCACCTTCTAAGTTTACCTTCCTATCAGAAGCCTTCCAAAGACAGCCCCTCTTACAGTGACCATAGTCTGTGTTATACCATGCATGTGTATTATTTTTCTAATTGGACAGTAAAAATCTCAAAGGTATGGAGCGTGTCACACACGAAAGATGAAAACGAGTAAGAATGAGGTTAATTATCAAAGGCAGAACTTTAAATTAGCTCCCTTTTCCCAAAAAGGAGAGATAAAAAACCAAATACTCTGGTTCTATAAATATTAGTAAAAGCACAGTACCAGTGGCACTTTTAAAGAAGTCCTTTTCAAATCCAATGACTTTGTGCAGAGGTCCCCAATCTTTTTGGCACCAGGGATCAAGTCAATGTAAGACAATTTCTCCATGGACAGGGAAGCGGGTGGTTTCGGGGTGACTCAAGTGCATTACATTTATATGCGCTTTATTTCTATTACTATTGTATCAGCTCCATCTCAGATCATCAGGCATTAGATCCTGGAGGTTGGGGACCCCTGACTTAGAGAATGTGCTCGGAGATATTTGTTAACCAAGTGTACTAGCTCCATGCACAGGTCAGGGACTCCATTTGAAAAGAAAAGTCACAGAACAGCATCGAAACACATATATTATCTAGGGTGAAACAGATCACCAGCCCAGGTTGGGTGCACGAGACAAGTGCTCGGGCCTGGTGCACTGGGGAGACCCAGAGGGATCGGGTGGAGAGGGAGGTGGGAGGGGGGACCGGAATGGGGAATACGTGTAAATCCATGGCTAATTCATTTCAATGTATGACAAAAACCACTGCAATGATGTAAAGTAATTAGCCTCCAACTAATAAAAATAAATGAAAAAAAAAAAAGAAAAGAAATGTCACTGCCTCCATCACATTTCATTCCAGAGTTGTGCACCCTGGGACTTGGAACTCAGGCAGGAAATCTCCCTGTGAGCCTGGCATGCAAACAAGACAGAGGCAGCGAGAGCCCTTATCAGGGAAAAGAATGACGGGAGACACATGGACACGGGCCCTCCAGGACAGAGGCAGTGGGAGGCAGCGATGCCAGAGACGGAACACCGCCCCCGCCCTGCCTCCACCCCAACACACACACACGCCCCCCTCTGAAACAGGAACCTACAGAACTGCCAGGAAAGCAGAGAGGACCTTCTCAACAGCACTTCCTACTGGGAACAGGGGTGGAGGAGTGGAGGCTGTACAGCCTGGGTTCCATTTATTAATAAGCAGCTCAACACAGTGGGAGGTTTTCTTGTCTAATTACAGAAGCTGTTGGAAACTGCAAGGAAGACAGGATTTACGGCCCAGATGACACTGCCTCTGTGTTGTAATTAAAAGTTATTTTTAATGCCTCTGTTTGGTCAGATACTTTGGATTATTAGAAATATAGTTTGCAATTTAAAACTTGCTAAAGGGCAGAGAACACAGCAGAAAGGTAATACAACAAGCTTGCATAATGTGAAACAGTTAAATGTTTTGACATTGGGAGGTGGGAAAGGAAAAGAATCTTGCTCCCACTTAAGGCTGAGTTTCCTATAAGAAAGGGAGAGAAAAACAAGCCAGGGTACTAAAGTCGATTTTTAAAATTTCAAAAGTAACCCAGCTACTTATTTTATCCATTAGCTAGAGCTTGTATACCACCCACCAGGAGCATAGATAACTCATTCATAGCCATTCACTCAAAGCGCCTAATCCTTATCCTCATTAAAGCTCTTTGCTTTGTCCTGGGTCCCCAGGAAATGACAGTGGTCACCCTAACAAGGGCAAGGCCTGGCTTAACCACAAAGGCCAAGAGGCCAACGTCAGGGCAGAGTGGTGCGGGGGAGACGGCGGCGGGGGAGTGGGTGGGTGGGTCCAATGTGAGCTGTGGACATTACCTGTCGTGTATGATATGAGGGTTGTTTTAAATCCATTTCTCTTCTTTTATCCAAGAGTCCAGTTTCAAGAAGGGGGTCAGACACACACATCCAAGTGTCCACAAGTAGCTACAGAATCAGGCCAAGATCAGACAGGGGCCATTTATTCCCCAAATGCCATTTCTAGAATGCCTATTTCCCCAGATATACAAAGGAGGCAAGTCTGCCATGAAGGCTCTTCTTTAACAGCGGGGAGGAGAGAATCTATTACGTGAAGCAGACTTTAGAAATTGTCTGATGAAAACGGGGAGGGGAAGGAACCTCTACCTGGTGTGAGCCTCTCAGATCACCTCTGTATTTCCTTTATCCCTGCTATGAATCTTCTCATTAAAAGTAATTCCAGGAGCTCATTATGGGAAACATATCACAGAAACCACCCAATATTACACATCATGATGAGACTGTAAAAGCCTCTGAACACATTATTCAAAAATAAATTTAAAGTTAGGGTTACAGGGACCATACCAAGTTGCTGGGATTTATCTTGTACCAAAAAGAACCACTGTGCCCCTGTGGTTCTCTTCCTAGTTCAGAGCAGACCTTGACTCCACATCTGGGCATAGACTCGTGGTCCTTACCTGCCACATTAATTTTCTCAAGTAAGCTGGGGACAGGTGTGGTGGAGTTGGTCAAGTTCGTCCCTGTGCCATTGCTTACGAGGTTGTCCACCTTTGACTCCAACTTGCCAATGCGCTGCAAAATGTTATCCAGCAACACAGCAAGCGTCTTCTTCAGATCTGCAACAGAAAACATACACAGTGTTTAAATACAACAGCTTAGACATCCTCCGGTCCCCCCCATATCGGCCTGGAACACACATGCACACTCGCGCTCGCTCTCTCTTTCCTTCCCTCTGATGTGAAGAACAAAATGTGGCAAATCGAAAAGCACCACATGAAGATCTGTCCTAACAAACTCCACCTGAAAGGCAACAGAGGCCACATTCAAGGGGCCCAAAGAGACAAAAACACATCAGTTTGCTCTGTAACATAAGCTTCACAGTAAGTGACATAAAACTGTTCGGCTAGTAGGTTGAAAGAGAAAACTCCCTGTTATTTAGCATCCTACCAAAGCATTCAATTCTTCCTCCTTCTCTCGTATGGGGGTTACTAACACACAGAATGACAAGCCCCAAATGCAAGAAGGCCTTGAAGTAACTTCCAGATCAAGTTCATTGTTGTTGTTTTTTGTTTCTTTGTTTTTTAGTGCTGTATACTCTTGCAAGTCCCAATTTTTTGAAAAGTCTTTACTGCTGTTGGTTACATATGGTAATACTTAATAAAAAGTTATGGGCTTCCCTCGTGGCTCGGTGGTAAAGAATACACCTTCTAATGTAGGAGATGCAGGTTCAATCCCTGAGTTGGGAAGATCCCCTGGAGAAGAGAATGGCAACCTATTCTTGCCTGGGAAATCCCATGGACAGAGGAGCCTGGCAGGCTACAGTCCATGGAGTCACAAAAGAGTCAGACACAACTCAGCGACTAAATAACAACAACAAGACAAAAGCTACAGTTTCAGATTTCAGATATGCTGGATAATCCAAAGTTAACTATAATGCAACTTAGAAGCACACTTAAAGACCAGATTCATTCATTAATTCAAAGTGAAAGTCACTTAGTCATGTCCGACTGTTTGCAACCCCATGGACTATACAGTCCATGGAATTCTCCAGGCCAGAATACTGGAGTGGGTAGACTTTCCCTTCTCCAGGGGATCTTCTCAACCCAGGGATCAAACCCAGGTCTCTTGCATGGCAGGCGGATTCTTTACCAGCTAAACTACAAGGGAAGCCCAAGAATACTGGAGTGGGTACCCTATCTCTTCTCCAGTGGATCTTCCCAGCCCAGGAATCGAATGGGGGTCTCCTGCATTGCAGGCAGATTCTTTACCAACTCAGCTATCAGGGAAGGAGTTCATTCATTCAAGATATTAATTAAACAACTACGATGTGCCAAGCATTGTTCTAGATGCTGGGACTATTTTTCTTCTGGTCCTTACATTTAAAAGTGAATTCTCTTTCTTACATATCTGGCTATGGGTTACAGAGAAAGGTACTTCTCTCCAGATAAGTTACAGACACACTATCTTCAGGCCTACATAAGTATTTACTAAGTTTCTATACAAGGTACTCTATACACAGAGAGAGATTAAGTTAGCCCCTCTCCTCTGGAGACTCAAAGACAGTCTGACTTGTACTTGTGAGAAAGGCAGGAGGACCACAGGGCAGCAGCTATGTGAACAGATTCACTTACGAACTGGGAGTGGGCCAGGGGAGCAGGATGCAGCAAAATCCTTAAATGAGACCAAGGGGAACCTTCCAATCTGCTGGGAACAGAGCACACCTGCCCTGAACAGGTGCTCAGATCTGCCCAGGAAAGCAGCACAAACTGGACCAACCCACCAACCCCAGAGCACAGCCAGCGACCATCCACTAACAAGCAGGCAGGCTTTCCATTTCCAGTCGAGAGAGAAACACTCATCCGATGGAAACAAGACACATAATTGACATTCAAGTTTGCATTCCTGGGGTTTACAGACAGCATCACTGAAGCTCACTAAAGCCTGGAAACAGAACCCACATCTTTATCCTGGAAGTCTGGATCTCTGTGCTTAGCATAATCTCAATCCCCCGCCACTCCCAACACCAAACGTAAGACTTCTTCACAGCATTAAGATCTGTAGCAGTCTGTTCATTCAATCTCTCTAACAAACATCTGACCAGGTCTACTTTTTATTCTTCACTGAGTATGTTACCCACAGATACTGAGACAAGCTGGCCATGCAAAAGAGCAATTGGCCAAAAATAAGATTATAACAAAGAAGGTTAAAAAGGAACTAAGAGTTCCTGAGTGCCTATGACGTGCTATGCACATATACAAGGAACTGCATTTATTAATAATTCACATTCTCCATGAAGCAGGTGTGACTTCATTTTACAGATGAGAAAACTGAGGTTCACAGACAGGAAGCAATATGCTCGTGGTTCCAGACATACAAAATCACAAATGGGGACTCAACTCAGGTCTGCCTAATTCTCTGATGCCTCGCTGCGACTAGCGAGAAGTCAAGAGCCAGGGCTGAGAAAAGAAACCAAGTGTGAAATTCAGTGACTTTCAGCCTAGTGATAAAGGGCTTAGACTCTAATCACTTCCTAGGTTTGAGTCTTCACTCTTCACTTCTGTACCCTTATTTGTAAAAGTGAAAAGAATAAGCCTACCTCTTTGGAGTTATAATGAGGACGTAATGAGTTAATATTTGTAAAATGTTTTGAACACTGCCTGGCACATAATAAGTGCTACATAACCGTCTGTTACATAGGTAAGTTAAGAAAATAAAACCTTTGGAAAATGCTCTCATCCTTCCTAGAGAAATCTCTCCCGGAGTGATGCAAAGCTTTATCGTTTTATCCAAAGGGTCATGAGATCACGCTCCTCGGGGGCTGCAGCCCGACAACCAGTGTGACTCACAGCCTGCCCCTGACACATCATTAGCTGGCACAGACAGCAGGAGTCAGCCACCAGCTCTGGTCCTCCACTGACTCTGAAGCACTGCCTGCCTCTCCAGAGCTCTGAAGATTGCCAGAGGCTAGCCACACAGATGCGGGCCCTGGTGCTGCTCAGAGGTGGCTGCGCTCACTGTAAAGAAACCACTCCTCAGATAAATAGTATCCATCTCCCTTCCCCCACCCCTGCCCCCCAATCTCAACCTCTCTGCCCAGAGCCTGAATTGTCAGCCAAGGCATCCTCGTGTAAAAAGGGCATTTAACTCTTACCAGCAATTGCAGTTAGCCAGACACAGAGGCCTGATCTGCTAGTCTGGCTTTACTCAGGATTCTCAGTTTCTACGCTACTGACACTTTGGCCAGATAATTCTTTGCTTGCCAGGAGGGTGGGGAGCAGGAGGAAGGAGACTATCCTGTACTACAAGGTTTCTGCAGCATCCCTGGACTCTCGCCACTAAACAAGAGTAGCAATCCTCCTGTGTGAACCAGAAATGTCTTCAGACATTGCCAATGTCCCTTCTGGGGAGCACAACTGCACTCCATTCGAGAACCACTGAATTAAGCACATGCTCCCAACACTTGTCTTCCGCACTGCCCTTCTGCAGAGCTATCAAGATAGAACTTGGACAGAAGGGTGATGGGAGAAAGAATGAAGAGTGAAAAGAGAGTCACTAACTTGCATTATGTATGACTTCCATGTGACACTACTACAAATATGATGGAAAGTACATGAGGAAAGGTGGGCGCTGACACAAGCCCACGCATCAGGTCTCTCAAGAGCTGGTAACCCCTTTCAGCCTTTTGCCCTTCTGTTAAAAGGCAAGAGGACTCCTGGAGAGAGCCTCCCAACCCACAACTTTTGGTGATAGTTATTGGTGGCACACACACCCTGGGTACAACACACGGTTGTCACATCGGCATTAAGAAGACATTCTTCCTCAATTCTTAAAACACAATCCATTAGTAAATGTGGCTTACTATCTCTTGTTGATCCCACCTACACAAATGCACCTTGTGTGACTCTATGAGATGGTATAAAGGGATTCATGATGATGAGAAGAATGCTGATGTTCACCATCATCACTCCACTCCAGCACTACTACTGCTGAGGTTGCTACTGCTGCTATTATCACTATACTGATGCAACTGCTACTATTGTTCCTCCACCAGTACCAGCAACACCATTTCTTGAATCTCATGTGTTAGTCCTGGGCTAAGCATTTTAGATGGATTAATTCATTTAGTTCCACCAAGACAATATGAGAAACATGTTGCCATTCCCATCTCCATCACACAGATGAGTAAACCACAGTATCTAGAGGTTAACTAATTTGTCCCATGTGACTGCAGATCTGGGGTCCAAACCCAGGCAACCTGGTTCCAGACCCAACAGTTCTTACCCACCATGCTTTAATGCTTCTTAAGGAACCTTATGGACCTGAGAGCCAGCAAGCATCTCTGACTTGCTGCTTCTGAACACAGTATGGATTAAGTCCTGGGCTTCTGCCGTGTGTCCCTGTTAAATCATACCCCAGCCTCCCTCAAGACTCACTGATGGGGCAGTTCTGTGAGCAACTCCAACACTTAAACATAATGAAGAACTTGTTTTTCTGTATCTTCTCCCTTAAATTCCATGAATTGAATACAAGGCTATTAAAAACCTTGGCCTCTCTAGACACTTTACCTGGGTAGGCATGTTTTCTCTCCCAATGTGGAAAAAAAGAAAAAAGTTCATTTTCAATTCAAGCAGCTATTTGAGTCACTATTTCGAGGCACTCCAACACAAGATAAAAGATACTTGTGTCAATAAAAGACACAAGGGCAAAGATGATCCCAAGTTCATCTCTGAGTCCTTACAAACTGGCATGGTGCCTGGCACAGTAATCAGTCAGTGTGTGTTACCTAAGTGCATACGTGAATGAATGAACCAACAAGTAAATGAACTACAGTCTTCCTACAAATAAGGCTGAATAAACGACACCTTTCTAGGTAATGTAATTGTTTCTCACCTTTGTATTTCACAGCTAAATCTGCAAGAACTGTTAAAGAGTTTTATTGCAATTTTAAACTTAATATAGAATATTTTTGTATGCATTCTTAGTCTTAATGTTAACCCATATATTTGATAAGACCAAACACTCAAGACTAATTTCATATAGTTTAATAAAGAAATGAAAATATTCTTCCAAATTCCAGTATAATATCTTCATATTTATCATTGTGTTTTATAGTTAT